TATGGACACCCCCTCCCCCCATTATGGACCCCTCCCCCCATTATGGACATCCCCTCCCCCCATTATGGACACCCCTCCCCCCATTATGGACCCCCCCCTCCCCCCATTATGGACACCCCCTCCCCCCATTATGGACACCCCCCCCTCCCGCCATTATGGACCCCTCCCCCCATTATGGACCCCTCCCCCCATTATGGAACCCCCCCCTCCCCCCATTATGGACACCCCCTCCCCCCATTATGGACACCCCCCCTCCCCCCATTATGGACACCCCTCCCCCCATTATGGACACCCCCTCCCCCCATTATGGACCCCTCCCCCCATTATGGACACCCCTCCCCCCATTATGGACACCTCAGGAGGAGCCCCCCCTGAAGAAGAAGCGCCCCGAGGGCTCCGCACCGTGGGCAGGTGGGGACCGGGGGGGGGGGTTGGAGGTGGGGAGGATGAGGATGGGGGTGGGGATGGTGGGGGTGATGATGATGGAGGGGATGAAGGGGATGATGGAGGTGATGATGATGATGATGATGGAGGTTATGATGGAGGTGATGAAGGGGATGATGGAGGTGATGAAGGGGATGATGGAGATGATGGAGGTGATGATGATGATGATGATGGAGGTTATGATGGAGGTGATGAAGGGGATGATGGAGGTGATGAAGGGGATGATGGAGATGATGGAGGTGATGATGATGATGATGATGGAGGTGATGAAGGGGATGATGGAGGTGATGAAGGGGATGATGGAGATGATGGAGGTGATGATGATGATGATGATGATGATGGAGGTGATGGTGATGGAGGGGATTGATGGAGGTGGTGGTGGTGGAGTTAGTGGTGGGGATGAAGGGGATGATGGAGGTGATGAAGGTGATGATGATGATGATGATGGAGGGGATGATGGAGATGATGGAGGTGATGATGATGATGATGATGATGATGATGGAGGTGATGGTGATGGAGGGGGTTGATGGAGGTGGTGGTGGTGGAGTTAGTGGTGGGGATGAAGGGGATGATGGAGGTGATGAAGGTGATGATGATGATGATGATGATGATGGAGGTGATGGAGGGGATGATGGAGGTGATGGTGATGGAGATGATGGAGGTGATGGAGGGAATGATGGAGGTGATGAAGGTGGTGATGATGATGATGATGGAGTCGGTGATGGAGGTGATGCTGATGACGACAATGATGATGATGATGATGGAGGTGATGGAGGTGATGATAATGATGATGGAGTCGGTGATGGAGGTGATGAAGGTGATGATGGAGGTGATGAAGGGGATGATGGAGGTGATGAAGGGGATGAGGGAGGTGATGGAGGTGATGATGATGATGATGATGAAGGGGATGATGATGACAATGATGATGATGATGGAGTTGGTGATGGAGGTGATGATGATGATGATGTTGATTGAGGTGATGATGGAGGTGATGAAGGGGATGATGAAGGTGATGAAGGGGATGATGGAGGTGATGAAGGTGATGATGATGACGATGATGATGACAATGATGATGGATTCGGTGATGGAGGTGATGCTGATGACGACGATGATGATGATGATGGAGTTGGTGATGGAGGTGATGAAGGGGATGATGATGATGATGATGATGATGGAGTTGGTGATGGAGGTGGTGGAGGTGATGATGATGATGATGATGAAGGGGATGATGACAATGATGATGATGATGATGACGATGCTGATGCCGATGATGATGATGCCGATGCCGATGCTGAAGAAGATGCTGAGGGTGCTGCTCTTGCAGGGGGGAAGTCGGCCCCGCAGGACGAGGTGGACGAGATCGAGGTGTACGGCAGCGAGGCGCAGTCGGGCACCCAATTGGCCACCTACTCCTTCGAGGTGCACCCATGGGTGCTGGGGGGGGGGGCACCCACCCCAGCCTGGGACCGGACACTGAGCCCCCCCCACCCTTGGCACCCATCAGGTCTGTGACAGCCTCTTGAACATCGGGCCCTGCGCCAATGCAGCCATGGGGGAGCCGGCCTTCCTCAGCGAGGAGGTGAGCACACAGAGCACCCAGAGCACCCATAGAGAGCACCCATAGAGAGCACCCATAGTGCCCATAGCACCCATAGAGAGCACCCAGAGCACCCATACACAGCACCCATAGCACCCTGAGCACCCAGAGCACCCATAGAGAGCACCCAGAGCACCCATAGCACCCAGAGCACCCATAGAGAGCACCCAGAGCACCCATACACAGCACCCATAGCACCCTGAGCACCCAGAGCACCCATAGAGAGCACCCATAGAGAGCACCCAGAGCACCCATAGAGAGCACCCAGAGCACCCATAGAGAGCACCCATAGAGAGCACCCATAGAGAGCACCCAGAGCACCCTGAGCACCCTGAGCACCCATAGAGAGCACCCATAGCACCCATAGAGAGCACCCATAGAGAGCACCCATAGCACCCATAGCACCCATAGACAGCACCCTGAGCACCCATAGCACCCATAGACAGCACCCAGAGCACCCATAGAGAGCACCGATAGCACCCATAGACAGCACACATAGCACCCATAGACAGCACCCATAGCACCCATAGACAGCACCCATAGCACCCATAGAGAGCACCCAGAGCACCCATAGAGAGCACCCACAGCACCCATGGCACCCATAGACAGCACCCAGAGCACCCAGAGCACCCATAGAGAGCACCCAGAGCACCCATAGACAGCACCCATAGCACCCATAGACAGCACCCATCGCACCCATAGAGAGCACCCATAGCACCCATAGAGAGCACCCATAGCACCCATAGACTGCACCCAGAGCACCCATAGAGAGCACCCAGAGCACCCATAGACTGCACCCAGAGCACCCATAGACTGCACCCATAGCACCCATAGAGAGCACCCATAGCATCCATAGAGAGCACCCATAGCACCCATAGAGAGCACCCAGAGCACCCATAGAGAGCACCCAGAGCACCCATAGACAGCACACATAGCACCCATAGAGAGCACCCAGAGCACCCATAGCACCCATAGAGAGCACCCACAGCACCCATGGCACCCATAGACAGCACCCAGAGCACCCAGAGCACCCATAGAGAGCACCCAGAGCACCCATAGACTGCACCCATAGCACCCATAGACAGCACCCATCGCACCCATAGAGAGCACCCATAGCACCCATAGAGAGCACCCATAGCACCCATAGACTGCACCCAGAGCACCCATAGAGAGCACCCAGAGCACCCATAGACTGCACCCAGAGCACCCATAGACTGCACCCATAGCACCCATAGAGAGCACCCATAGCATCCATAGAGAGCACCCATAGCACCCATAGAGAGCACCCATAGCATCCATAGACTGCACCCAGAGCACCCATAGACTGCACCCATAGCACCCATAGAGAGCACCCAGAGCACCCATAGAGAGCACCCAGAGCACCCATAGACTGCACCCAGAGCACCCATAGACAGCACCCATAGAGAGCACCCAGAGCACCTATAGAGAGCACCCAGAGCACCCAGAGCACCCATACAGAGCACCCATAGCACCCATAGACAGCAGCCATAGCACCCATAGAGAGCACCCACAGTATCCATAGAGAGCACCCATAGACAGCACCCATAGCACCCATAGAGAGCACCCAGAGCACCCATAGACAGCACCCATAGCACCCATAGACAGCACCCATAGCACCCATAGACTGCACCCATAGCACCCATGGCACCCATAGAGAGCACCCATAGAGAGCAATGGCACCCACACACTGCACCCAACAGCCTGTACCCATGGGTGAGCTGGCCTTCCTCAGCGAGGAGGTGAGCACCCATAGCACCCATATTGCCCATAACACCCATAGAACCCATAGAGAGCACCCATAGAGAGCACCCATAGCACCCATAGCACCCATAGAAAGCAACAGCACCCACACACTGCACCCAACAGCCTGTACCCATGGGTGAGCTGGCCTTCCTCAGCAAGGAGGTGAGCACCCATAGCACCCATAGAGAGCACCCATAGCACCCATAGAGAGCACCCATAGCACTCATAGAGAGCACCCATAGCACCCATAGCACCCATAGCACCCATAGAAAGCAACAGCACCCACACACTGCACCCAACAGCCTGTACCCATGGGTGAGCTGGCCTTCCTCAGCGAGCACCAGTAGACAGCAGCACCCAGCACCCACAGATGGCACCCACAGACAGTACCCATAGACACCAGCACCCAGCACCCATAGACAGCACCCATAGACAGCACCCTTAGAGAGCAGCACCCACAGCCAGCACCCATAGACAGCAGCACCCAGCACCCACAGCCAGCACCCATAGACAGCAGCACCCTCAGCCAGCACCCATAGACAGCAGCACCCAGCACCCGCTGGCAGCACCCATAGACAGCAGCACCCAGCACCCACAGATGGCACCCACAGCCAGCACCCATAGACAGCAGCACCCAGCACCCACAGATGGCACCCACAGCCAGCACCCATAGACAGCAGCACCCAGCACCCACAGTGAGCACCCATAGACAGCAGCACCCAGCACCCACAGATGGCACCCACAGCCAGCACCCATAGACACCAGCATCCACAGCCAGCAGTACCCACAGAGAGCACCCATAGACAGCAGCACCCAGCACCCACAGATGGCACCCACAGTGAGCACCCATAGACAGCAGCACCCAGCACCTGCTGGCAGCACCCACAGCCAGCACCCATAGACAGCAGCACCCACAGAGAGCACCCATAGACATCAGCACTCAGCACCCACAGCACCCGTAGACAGCACCCATAGACACCAGCACCCAGCACCCACATATGGCACCCACAGCCAGCACCCATAGACAGCAGCACCCATAGACAGCAGCACCCATAGACAGCAGCACCCTCAGACAGCACCCATACACACCAGCACCCTCAGACAGCACCCATAGACAGCAGCACCCAGCACCCACAGATGGCACCCACAGCCAGCACCCATAGACAGCAGCACCCACAGTGAGCACCCATAGACAGCAGCACCCAGCACCCATAGACAGCAGCACCCAGCACCCACAGACAGCAGCACCCAGCACCCATAGACACCAGCACCCAGCACCCACAGATGGCACCCACAGCCAGCACCCATAGACACCAGCACCCAGCACCCATAGACAGCAGCCACAGCCAGCACCCATAGACAGCAGCACCCACAGCGAGCACCCATAGACAGCAGCACCCAGCACCCACAGACAGCAGCACCCAGCACCCATAGACAGCAGCACCCACAGCGAGCACCCATAGACAGCAGCACCCAGCACCCACAGAGAGCACCCATAGACAGCAGCACCCAGCACCCACAGATGGCACCCACAGCCAGCACCCATAGACAGCAGCACCCAGCACCCATAGACAGCACCCACAGCCAGCACCCATAGACAGCAGCACCCACAGCGAGCACCCATAGACAGCAGCACCCAGCACCCACAGATGGCACCCACAGAGAGCACCCATAGACACCAGCACCCATAGACACCAGCACCCATAGACAGCAGCACCCAGCACCCACAGCCAGCACCCATAGCAGCACCCAGCACCCAACAGCACCCACAGCCAGCACCCATAGACAGCAGCACCCACAGTGAGCACCCATAGACAGCAGCACCCAGCACCCGCCGGCAGCACCCATAGACACCAGCACCCAGCACCCATAGACAGCAGCACCCAGCACCCACAGCCAGCACCCATAGACAGCAGCACCCACAGCCAGCACCCATAGACAGCAGCACCCAGCACCCATAGACAGCAGCACCCACAGATGGCACCCACAGGCAGCACCCATAGACAGCAGCACCCACAGTGAGCACCCATAGACACCAGCACCCAGCACCCACCGGCAGCACCCAAGGGTGCTCCCTGACCCCCCCTTTCCCCATCCCAGTTCCAGAACCACCCGGAGCCAGACCTGGAGCTCGTGCTCTGCTCCGGCTACGGCAAGAACGGGGCCCTCACCGTGCTGCAGGTGAGCAGCACCCATTGGGTGCCCCCAGGCCCGTTGGGTGCCCCCATCCCCATTGGGTGCCCCCATCCCCATTGGGTTCCCATTGGGTGCTCCCATCCCCATTGGGTGCTCCCATCCCCATTGGGTGCCCCCATCCCCATTGGGTTCCCATTGGGTGCCCCCATCCCCATTGGGTTCCCCATTGGGTGCTCCCATCCCCATTGGGTGCTCCCATCCCCATTGGGTGCCCCCATCCCCATTGGGTTCCCCATTGGGTTCCCCCATCCCCATTGGGTGCCCATTGGGTGCCCCCATCCCCATTGGGTGCCCCCATCCCCATTGGGTTCCCATTGGGTTCCCCCATCCCCATTGGGTGCCCCCATCCCCATTGGGTTCCCATTGGGTGCCCCCAGGCCCATTGGGTGCCCATTGGGTGCCACCATCTCCATTGGGTGCCCCCATCCCCATTGGGTTCCCATTGGGTTCCCCCATCCCCATTGGGTTCCCCCATCCCCATTGGGTTCCCATTGGGTGCCCCCATCCCCATTGGGTGCCCCCATCCCCATTGGGTGCCTCCATCCCCATTGGTTCCCCATTGGGTGCCCATTGGGTGCCCCCATCCCCATTGGGTTCCCATTGGGTGCCCCCATCCCCATTGGGTTCCCCATTGGGTGCCCCCATCCCCATTGGGTTCCCCCATCCCCATTGGGTGCCCCCATCCCCATTAGGTGCCCATTGGGTGCCCATTGGTTCCCCATTGGTTCCCCATTGGTTCCCCATTGGGTGCCCCCATCCCCATTGGGTGCCCCCATCCCCATTAGGTGCCCATTGGGTGCCCATTGGTTCCCCATTGGTTCCCCATTGGGTTCCCCCATCCCCATTGGGTGCCTCCATCCCCATTGGTTCCCCATTGGTTCCCCATTGGGTGCCTCCATCCCCATTGGGTGCCCATTGGGTGCCCATTGGGTGCCCCCATCCCCATTGGGTGCCCATTGGGTGCCCATTGGGTGCCCCCATCCCCATTGGGTGCCCATTGGGTCCCCATTGGGTGCCCCCATCCCCATTGGGCGCCCATTGGGTGCCCCCGCGCCGCCCAAGGCCTGCGCCTCTGAGCTCCGTGGGGCGCAGGTCAGGTACCGGCGCCAGAGCGAGGCCAGGGGGAAACCAGGGCGGCTCCGGAGAGGCCCCGAGCGCCCGTAACCCCCAGGGACACCCCTGACCCACAGCGACCCACAGCGACCCACACATTGACCCACACATTGACCCACAGCGACCCACACCTGACCCACACCTGACCCACAGCGACCCACAGCGACCCACACCTGACCCACACATTGACCCACAGCGACCCACAGCGACCCACAGCGACCCACACCTGACCCACACATTGACCCACAGCGACCCACAGCGACCCACAGCGACCCACACATTGACCCACATTGACCCACACCTGACCCACAGCGACCCACAGTGACCCACAGCGACCCACACCTGACCCACACATTGACCCACACTGACCCACACATTGACCCACACTGACCCACAGCGACCCACACCTGACCCACATTGACCCACAGCGACCCACACCTGACCCACACATTGACCCACACTGACCCACAGCGACCCACACCTGACCCACATTGACCCACAGCGACCCACACCTGACCCACACCTGACCCACAGCGACCCACACCTGACCCACACCTGACCCACAGCGACCCACACCTGACCCACACCTGACCCACAGCGACCCACAGCGACCCACAGTGACCCACACATTGACCCACAGCGACCCACAGTGACCCACAGCGACCCACACATTGACCCACAGCGACCCACAGCGACCCACAGCAACCCACACCTGACCCACAGCGACCCACACCTGACCCACACCTGACCCACAGCGACCCACACTGACCCACAGCGACCCACACATTGACCCACACATTGACCCACAGCGACCCACAGCGACCCACAGCGACCCACACATTGACCCACACATTGACCCACAGCGACCCACACCTGACCCACAGCGACCCACACATTGACCCACACCTGACCCACACTGACCCACATTGACCCACACCTGACCCACAGCGACCCACACCTGACCCACACCTGACCCACAGCGACCCACAGTGACCCACACCTGACCCACAGCGACCCACAGCGACCCACACCTGACCCACACCTGACCCACAGCGACCCACAGCGACCCACAGTGACCCACACATTGACCCACACTGACCCACAGCGACCCACACCTGACCCACACCTGACCCACAGCGACCCACACATTGACCCACACCTGACCCACATTGACCCACAGCGACCCACAGCGACCCACACCTGACCCACAGCGACCCACAGCGACCCACAGTGACCCACACATTGACCCACACATTGACCCACAGCAACCCACAGCGACCCACACATTGACCCACACTGACCCACAGCGACCCACAGCGACCCACACCTGACCCACACATTGACCCACAGCGACCCACAGCGACCCACACCTGACCCACACCTGACCCACAACGACCCACACATTGACCCACACTGACCCACAGCGACCCACAGCGACCCACACATTGACCCACAGCGACCCACAGCGACCCACCTGACCCACAGCGACCCACACTGACCCACACTGACCCACATTGACCCACAGCGACCCACACTGACCCACAGCGACCCACAGCGACCCACAGCGACCCACACATTGACCCACAGCGACCCACACTGACCCACACCTGACCCACACCTGACCCACAGCGACCCACACATTGACCCACACCTGACCCACAGCGACCCACAGTGACCCACACCTGACCCACAGCGACCCACACCTGACCCACAGCGACCCACAGCGACCCACAGCGACCCACACCTGACCCACACTGACCCACACCTGACCCACACCTGACCCACAGCGACCCACACTGACCCACAGCGACCCACACCTGACCCACATTGACCCACACCTGACCCACAGCGACCCACACACTGACCCACAGCGACCCACAGCGACCCACACATTGACCCACACTGACCCACAGCGACCCACATTGACCCACAGTGACCCACACATTGACCCACACCTGACCCACACCTGACCCACATTGACCCACACTGACCCACACTGACCCACACCTGACCCACACATTGACCCACAGCGACCCACAGTGACCCACACATTGACCCACACCTGACCCACACTGACCCACACTGACCCACACTGACCCACACTGACCCACAGCTGCCCCACAGCGACCCACAGCGACCCACACATTGACCCACAGCGACCCACAGCGACCCACAGCGACCCACATTGACCCACATTGACCCACACCTGACCCACAGCGACCCACACCTGACCCACAGTGACCCACAGCGACCCACAGCGACCCACACCTGACCCACAGCGACCCACAGCGACCCACACATTGACCCACACTGACCCACATTGACCCACACCTGACCCACATTGACCCACAGCGACCCACACTGACCCACAGCGACCCACAGCGACCCACACATTGACCCACAGCGACCCACACTGACCCACACCTGACCCACACCTGACCCACATTGACCCACAGCGACCCACACTGACCCACAGCGACCCACATTGACCCACAGCGACCCACACATTGACCCACACCTGACCCACACCTGACCCACACCTGACCCACACATTGACCCACAGCGACCCACAGCGACCCACAGCGACCCACACATTGACCCACAGCGACCCACAGCGACCCACACATTGACCCACAGCGACCCACACTGACCCACACTGACCCACATTGACCCACAGCGACCCACACTGACCCACAGCGACCCACAGCGACCCACAGCGACCCACACATTGACCCACAGCGACCCACACTGACCCACACCTGACCCACACCTGACCCACAGCGACCCACACATTGACCCACACCTGACCCACAGCGACCCACAGTGACCCACACCTGACCCACAGCGACCCACACCTGACCCACAGCGACCCACAGCGACCCACAGCGACCCACACCTGACCCACACTGACCCACACCTGACCCACACCTGACCCACAGCGACCCACACTGACCCACAGCGACCCACACCTGACCCACATTGACCCACACCTGACCCACAGCGACCCACACACTGACCCACAGCGACCCACAGCGACCCACACATTGACCCACACTGACCCACAGCGACCCACATTGACCCACAGTGACCCACACATTGACCCACACCTGACCCACACCTGACCCACATTGACCCACACTGACCCACACTGACCCACACCTGACCCACACATTGACCCACAGCGACCCACAGTGACCCACACATTGACCCACACCTGACCCACACTGACCCACACTGACCCACACTGACCCACACTGACCCACAGCTGCCCCACAGCGACCCACAGCGACCCACACATTGACCCACAGCGACCCACAGCGACCCACAGCGACCCACATTGACCCACATTGACCCACACCTGACCCACAGCGACCCACACCTGACCCACAGTGACCCACAGCGACCCACAGCGACCCACACCTGACCCACAGCGACCCACAGCGACCCACACATTGACCCACACTGACCCACATTGACCCACACCTGACCCACATTGACCCACAGCGACCCACACTGACCCACAGCGACCCACAGCGACCCACACATTGACCCACAGCGACCCACACTGACCCACACCTGACCCACACCTGACCCACATTGACCCACAGCGACCCACACTGACCCACAGCGACCCACATTGACCCACAGCGACCCACACATTGACCCACACCTGACCCACACCTGACCCACACCTGACCCACACATTGACCCACAGCGACCCACAGCGACCCACAGCGACCCACACATTGACCCACAGCGACCCACAGCGACCCACACATTGACCCACAGCGACCCACACTGACCCACACTGACCCACATTGACCCACAGCGACCCACACTGACCCACAGCGACCCACAGCGACCCACAGCGACCCACACATTGACCCACAGCGACCCACACTGACCCACACCTGACCCACACCTGACCCACAGCGACCCACACATTGACCCACACCTGACCCACAGCGACCCACAGTGACCCACACCTGACCCACAGCGACCCACACCTGACCCACAGCGACCCACAGCGACCCACAGCGACCCACACCTGACCCACACTGACCCACACCTGACCCACACCTGACCCACAGCGACCCACACTGACCCACAGCGACCCACACCTGACCCACATTGACCCACACCTGACCCACAGCGACCCACACACTGACCCACAGCGACCCACAGCGACCCACACATTGACCCACAGTGACCCACAGCGACCCACATTGACCCACAGTGACCCACACATTGACCCACACCTGACCCACATTGACCCACAGCGACCCACACTGACCCACAGCGACCCACAGCGACCCACACATTGACCCACAGCGACCCACACTGACCCACACCTGACCCACACCTGACCCACATTGACCCACAGCGACCCACACTGACCCACAGCGACCCACATTGACCCACAGCGACCCACACATTGACCCACACCTGACCCACACCTGACCCACACCTGACCCACACATTGACCCACAGCGACCCACAGCGACCCACAGCGACCCACACATTGACCCACAGCGACCCACAGCGACCCACACATTGACCCACAGCGACCCACACTGACCCACACTGACCCACATTGACCCACAGCGACCCACACTGACCCACAGCGACCCACAGCGACCCACAGCGACCCACACATTGACCCACAGCGACCCACACTGACCCACACCTGACCCACACCTGACCCACAGCGACCCACACATTGACCCACACCTGACCCACAGCGACCCACAGTGACCCACACCTGACCCACAGCGACCCACACCTGACCCACAGCGACCCACAGCGACCCACAGCGACCCACACCTGACCCACACTGACCCACACCTGACCCACACCTGACCCACAGCGACCCACACTGACCCACAGCGACCCACACCTGACCCACATTGACCCACACCTGACCCACAGCGACCCACACACTGACCCACAGCGACCCACAGCGACCCACACATTGACCCACAGTGACCCACAGCGACCCACATTGACCCACAGTGACCCACACATTGACCCACACCTGACCCACACCTGACCCACATTGACCCACACTGACCCACACTGACCCACACCTGACCCACACATTGACCCACAGCGACCCACAGTGACCCACACATTGACCCACACCTGACCCACACTGACCCACACTGACCCACACTGACCCACACTGACCCACAGCGACCCACACATTGACCCACATTGACCCACAGCGACCCACAGCGACCCACATTGACCCACATTGACCCACACCTGACCCACAGCGACCCACACCTGACCCACAGTGACCCACAGCGACCCACAGCGACCCACACCTGACCCACAGCGACCCACAGCGACCCACACATTGACCCACACTGACGCACATTGACCCACACCTGACCCACATTGACCCACAGCGACCCACACTGACCCACAGCGACCCACAGCGACCCACACATTGACCCACAGCGACCCACACTGACCCACACCTGACCCACACCTGACCCACATTGACCCACAGCGACCCACACTGACCCACAGCGACCCACATTGACCCACAGCGACCCACACATTGACCCACACCTGACCCACACCTGACCCACACCTGACCCACACATTGACCCACAGCGACCCACAGCGACCCACAGCGACCCACACCTGACCCACACCTGCCCCACAGCGACCCACACCTGACCCACACATTGACCCACAGCGACCCACAGCGACCCACACATTGACCCACAGTGACCCACACCTGACCCACATTGATCCACACTGACCCACACCTGACCCACACCTGACCCACATTGACCCACACTGACCCACAGCGACCCACACATTGACCCACATTGACCCACAGCGACCCACAGTGACCCACACTGACCCACAGCGACCCACAGCGACCCACACATTGACCCACACATTGACCCACAGCGACCCACAGCGACCCACACATTGACCCACATTGACCCACAGCGACCCACAGTGACCCACACTGACCCACAGCGACCCACACATTGACCCACACATTGACCCACAGCGACCCACAGCGACCCACACATTGACCCACACTGACCCACATTGACCCACACTGACCCACACTGACCCACACTGACCCACACTGACCCACACTGACCCACACTGACCCACATTGACCCACATTGACCCACACTGACCCACACTGACCCACACCTGACCCACACTGACCCACACCTGCCCCACAGCTAACCCACAGCTGCCCCACGACTGCCCCACAGCTGCCCCACGGCTGCCCCACACCTGCCCCACGGCTGCCCCACACCTGCCCCACACCTGCCCCACGGCTGCCCCACGGCTCCCCCACACTTGCCCCACAGCTGCCCCACGACTGCCCCACAGCTGCCCCACGGCTGCCCCACACCTGCCCCACGGCTGCCCCACACCTGCCCCACACCTGCCCCACACCTGCCCCACACCTGTCCCATGGCTGCCCCACACCTGCCCCACACCTGCCCCACACCTGCCCCACACCTGCCCCACACCTGCCCCACACCTGCCCCACACCTGCCCCACACCTGCCCCACACCTGCCCCACACCTGCCCCACACCTGCCCCACAGCTGCCCCACAGCTGCCCCACTCCTGCCCCACACCTGCCCCACGGCTGCCCCACGGCTGCCCCACGGCCGCCCCACGGCCGCCCCACAGCTGCCCCACGGCTGCCCCACACCTGCCCCACACTGCCCCACGGCTGCCCCACACCTGCCCCACGGCCGCCCCACACCTGCCTCACACTGCCCCACACCTGCCCCACACCTGCCCCACACTGCCCCACACCTGCCCCACAGCTGCCCCACGGCCGCCCCACACCTGCCCCACAGCTGCCCCACACCTGCCCCACGGCTGCCCCACGGCTGCCCCACAGCTGCCCCACGGCTGCCCCACACCTGCCCCACACCTGCCCCACACCTGCCCCACGGCCGCCCCACACGTTGTCCTTGCCCTGCAGAAGAGCATCCGGCCGCAGGTGGTGACCACGTTCGAGCTGCCCGGCTGCTACGACATGTGGACCGTGATCGCGCCCCCCAGCAAGGAGGAGGTCGGGGGGCAGCCATGGACGGGGGGGGGGCGTGGTCATGGGGTCAATGTGGTCATGTGGTCATCATGGTCATGGGGTCATGGGGTCATCGTGGTCATGAGGTCATCATGGTTATGGGGTCATCGTGGTCATGTGGTCATCATGGTTATGGGGTCATCGTGGTCATGGGGTCATTGTGGTTATGGGGTCATTGTGGTTATGGGGTCATCATGGTCATGTGGTCATCGTGGTCATGGGGTCATCGTGGTCATGGGGTCATTGTGGTCATGGGGTCATCGTGGTCATGTGGTCATCGTGGTCATGTGGTCATCATGGTTATGGGGTCATCGTGGTCATGGGGTCATCGTGGTCATGTGGTCATCGTGGTCATGGGGTCAATGTGGTCATGGTGGTGGTGGTCATGGGGTCAATGTGGTCATGTGGTCAATGTGGTCATGTGGTCATCGTGGTAGTGGGGTCATCGTGGTCATGGGGTCATTGTGGTCATGGGGTCATCAGGGTTATGGGGTCATTGTGGTCATGGGGTCAATGTGGTCATGGGGTCATCGTGGTCATGGGGTCAATGTGGTCATGGGGTCATCGTGGTTATGGGGTCATGGTCATGGGGTCATCATGGTCATGGGGTCATCGTGGTCATGGGGTCATTGTGGTCATGGGGTCATCATGGTCATGGTGGTGGTGGTGGTCATGGGGTCATCGTGGTCATGGGGTCATCGTGGTCATGGGGTCATCGTGGTCATGGGGTCATCATGGTTATGGGGTCAGCATGGTCATGGGGTCATCGTGGTCATGTGGTCATCATGGTCATGGGGTCATCATGGTTATGGGGTCAGCATGGTCATGGGGTCATCGTGGTCATGTGGTCATCATGGTCATGGGGTCAGCATGGTCATGGGGTCATCATGGTTATGGGGTCATCGTGGTCATGGGGTCAATGTGGTCATGGGGTCATCATGGTTATGGGGTCATCGTGGTCATGGGGTCAATGTGGTCATGGGGTCATCGTGGTCATGGGGTCATCATGGTCATGGGGTCATCGTGGTCATGTGGTCATCGTGGTAGTGGGGTCATCGTGGTCATATGGTCATCATGGTTATGGGGTCATCGTGGTCATGGGGTCATCATGGTCATGGGGTCATCGTGGTCATATGGTCATCATGGTTATGGGGTCATCGTGGTCATGTGGTCATCATGGTTATGGGGTCATCGTGGTCATATGGTCATGGTTATGGGGTCATTGTGGTCATATGGTCATCATGGTTATGGGGTCATCGTGGTCATATGGTCATCATGGTTATGGGGTCATCGTGGTCATATGGTCATCATGGTTATGGGGTCATTGTGGTCATGGGGTCATCATGGTCATGGGGTCATCGTGGTCGTGGTGGTGGTCATGGGGTCATCGTGGTCATGGGGTCATTGTGGTCATGGGGTCATCGTGGTCATGTGGTCATCATGGTCATGGGGTCATTGTGGTCATGAGGTCATCGTGGTCATGGGGTCATTGTGGTCGTGGGGTCATCATGGTCATGGGGTCAATGTGGTCAAGGGGACCTGGTGGTCATGGGGTCATCGTGGTCATGGGGTCCTGGTGGTCATGGTGGTGTTGGCACCGTTGGTGTTGGTGCCATTGGTGCCCTTTGTGTTGGTGCTGCCCATGGTGCCATTGATGCCATTGGTTCCATTGATGCCATTGGTTCCATTGATGCCATTGATGCCATTGGTGCCATTGATGCCATTGGTGCCATTGATGCCATTGATGCCATTGGTGCCATTGATGCCATTGGTTCCATTGATGCCATTGGTTCCATTGATGCCATTGGTGCCATTGATGCCATTGATGCCATTGGTGCCATTGATGCCATTGATGCCATTGATGCCATTGGTTCCATTGATGCCATTGATGCCATTGATGCCATTGGTTCCATTGATGCCATTGGTTCCATTGATGCCATTGGTGCCATTGATGCCATTGATGCCATTGGTTCCATTGGTTCCATTGATGCCATTGACGCCATTGACGCCATTGACGCCATTGATGCCATTGATGCCATTGATGCCCTTGGTGCCATTGGTGCCATTGGTGCCATTGGTTCCATTGATGCCATTGGTTCCATTGATGCCCTTGGTGCCGTTGATGCCATTGGTGCCGTTGGTTCCATTGATGCCATTGGAGCCATTGATGCCATTGGTTCCATTGATGCCATTGGTTCCATTGATGCCATTGATGCCATTGATGCCATTGGTGCCATTGATGCCATTGGTTCCATTGATGCCATTGGTGCCATTGATGCCATTGATGCCATTGATGCCATTGGTGCCATTGATGCCATTGATGCCATTGATGCCATTGGTGCCATTGATGCCATTGATGTCATTGATGCCATTGGTGCCCTTGGTGCCATTGATGCCATTGGTTCCATTGATGCCCTTGGTGCCATTGATGCCATTGGTGCCATTGGTTCCATTGATGCCATTGGAGCCATTGATGCCATTGATGCCATTGATGCCATTGGTTCCATTGATGCCATTGATGCCATTGATGCCATTGGTGCCATTGATGCCATTGGTTCCATTGATGCCATTGGTGCCATTGATGCCATTGATGCCATTGGTGCCATTGGTGCCATTGATGCCATTGATGCCATTGGTGCCATTGATGCCATTGATGCCATTGGTGCCATTGGTGCCATTGATGCCATTGATGCCATTGATGCCATTGATGCCATTGGTGCCATTGATGCCATTGGTGCCATTGGTGCCATTGATGCCATTGATGCCATTGGTTCCATTGATGCCATTGATGCCATTGGTGCCATTGATGCCATTGATGCCATTGGTGCCATTGATGCCATTGGTTCCATTGATGCCATTGATGCCACTGGTGCCATTGATGCCATTGGTTCCATTGATGCCATTGGTGCCATTGGTTCCATTGATGCCATTGGTTCCATTGATGCCATTGATGCCATTGATGCCATTGGTGCCATTGATGCCATTGGTTCCATTGATGCCATTGGTGCCATTGATGCCATTGATGCCATTGATGCCATTGGTGCCATTGATGCCATTGATGCCATTGATGCCATTGGTGCCATTGATGCCATTGATGTCATTGATGCCATTGGTGCCCTTGGTGCCATTGATGCCATTGGTTCCATTGATGCCCTTGGTGCCATTGATGCCATTGGTGCCATTGGTTCCATTGATGCCATTGGAGCCATTGATGCCATTGATGCCATTGATGCCATTGGTTCCATTGATGCCATTGATGCCATTGATGCCATTGGTGCCATTGATGCCATTGGTTCCATTGATGCCATTGGTGCCATTGATGCCATTGATGCCATTGGTGCCATTGGTGCCATTGATGCCATTGATGCCATTGGTGCCATTGATGCCATTGATGCCATTGGTGCCATTGGTGCCATTGATGCCATTGATGCCATTGATGCCATTGATGCCATTGATGCCATTGATGCCACTGGTGCCATTGATGCCATTGGTTCCATTGATGCCATTGGTGCCATTGGTGCCATTGATGCCATTGATGCCATTGGTTCCATTGATGCCATTGATGCCATTGGTGCCATTGATGCCATTGATGCCATTGGTGCCATTGATGCCATTGATGCCATTGATGCCATTGGTGCCATTGATGCCATTGGTGCCATTGATGCCATTGATGCCATTGATGCCCTTGGTGCCATTGATGCCATTGATGCCATTGATGCCCTTGGTGCCATTGATGCCATTGATGCCATTGATGCCATTGGTGCCATTGATGCCATTGATGCCATTGGTTCCATTGATGCCATTGATGCCATTGATGCCATTGATGCCATTGATGCCATTGATGCCCTTGGTGCCATTGATGCCATTGATGCCATTGATGCCATTGGTTCCATTGGTGCCATTGATGCCATTGATGCCATTGGTGCCATTGATGCCATTGATGCCATTGATGCCATTGGTTCCATTGATGCCATTGATGCCATTGATGCCATTGGTGCCCTTGATGCCATTGATGCCTCCGCAGGGGGAGCCCGGTGCCGGTGCCGGTGCCGAGGCCGAGCCGGATGCGGCGGCGCCCGAGGGCCCCGATGAGGACGCGGAGAAGCGCCATGGGTTCCTCATCCTGAGCCGGGAGGACTCGACCATGGTGAGAGCTCCGCCCCATAGCGCCCATGGACCCCCCCCCCCGCCCCATAGAGCCCATGGATCCACCCCCTGCCCCATAGCGCCCATGGATCCCCCCTCTGCCCCATAGAGCCCATGGATCCCCCCCCCTGCCCCATAGCGCCCATGGATCCCCCCTCTGCCCCATAGCGCCCATGGATCCCCCCCCTGCCCCATAGAGCCCATGGATCCCCCCTCTGCCCCATAGAGCCCATGGATCCCCCCTCTGCCCCATAGAGCCCATGGATCCCCCCTCTGCCCCATAGAGCCCATGGATCCCCCCTCTGCCCCATAGAGCCCATGGGGTACTGTGTGCAGCCCCGCCCCATAGTGCCCATGGACATCCCCCCTCTGCCCCATAGCGCCCATGGATCCCCCCTCTGCCCCATAGCGCCCATGGACCCCTCCTCCTGCCCCATAGAGCCCATGGATCCCCCCTCTGCCCCATAGAGCCCATGGACACCCCCCCCCGCCCCATAGAGCCCATGGATCCCCCCTCTGCCCCATAGAGCCCATGGACACCCCCTCTGCCCCATAGCGCCCATGGATCCCCCCTCTGCCCCATAGAGCCCATGGGGCACTGTGTGCAGCCCTGCCCCATAGCGCCCATGGATCCCCCTCTGCCCCATAGAGCCCATGGGGCACTGTGTGCAGCCCTGCCCCATAGCGCCCATGGATACCCCCCCTGCCCCATAGAGCCCATGGGGCACTGTGTGCAGCCCTGCCCCATAGCGCCCATGGACCCCCCCCCCCGCCCCATAGAGCCCATGGGGCACTGTGTGCAGCCCTGCCCCATAGGGACCATGAATCCCCCCCTGCCCCATAGAGACCATGGGTGCCCCCCGACTGAGCCATAGCCCCCATTGGTTCCCCTCTGCCCCACAGAGACCATTGGTTCCCCCCTGCCCCATAGCCCCCATGGGTGCTCCCGCTGCCCTATAGCCCACATTGGTTCCACCCCTGCCCCATAGCCCCCATTGCTTCCTCCCCTGCCCCATAGCCCTCATGGGTGCTCCCCCCACCCCATAGTCCCCATTGGTTCCCCCCCCACCCCATAGCCCCCATGGGTGCCCTCCCCACCCCATAGCCCCCATTGGTCCCCTCCACACCCCATAGCCCCCATTGCTTCCCCTCCACACCCCATAGCCCCCATTGTTCCCCTCCACACCCCATAGCCCCCATTGCTTCCCCTCTGCCCCATAGCCCCCATGGGTTCCCCCCCCGCCCCATAGCCCCCATGGGTGCTCCCCCCACCCCATAGCCCCCATGGGTGCTCCCCCCGCCCCATCGCCCCTGTTGGTTCCCCTTGCTCCCCATACCCCCCATGGGTGCCCTCCCCTCCCCATAGCCCCCATGGGTGCCCTCCCTGCCCCATAGCCTGCCCCATAGCCCCCATGGGTGCCCCCCCCGCCCCATAGCCTGCCCCATTGCCTCCCCCCCCCCCATTGCCCCCCATGGGTGCCCCCCCCGCCCCATACAGGGCGACCCCAAAGACCCAAACCCACCACTGCCCCATAGACACTGACCCCTATGGGTGCCCCCCCCGCCCCATAGCCTGCCCCATAGCCTCCCCCCCCCAACCCCCCATTGCCCCCCATGGGTGCCCTCCCCGCCCCATACCCCCCATGGGTGCCCCCCCCGCCCCATAGCCCCCATTGCTTCCCCCCCACCCCATAGCCCCCATTGGTGCCCCCCCCGCCCCATACCCCCCATGGGTGCCCCCCCCGCCCCATAGCCTGCCCCATAGCCTCCCCCCCCCCCATTGCCCCCTATGGGTGCCCTTCCCGCCCCATTGCCCCCCATGGGTGCCCCCCCCGCCCCATAGCCTGCCCCATAGCCTCCCCCCCAACCCCCCATTGCCCCCCAGGTGCTGCAGACGGGGCAGGAGATCCTGGAGCTCGACACCAGCGGCTTCGCCACCCAGGGCCCCACGGTGGGGGCGGGGAACTTGGGGGGCGGGCGCTACATCCTGCAGGTGTCCCCCATGGGCATCCGCCTGCTGCAGGGGGGTGAGCACCCATGGGTGCTGCGGGGGGGGCGGGGGGGCTGGTGGGGGGGGGTGATCAGTATCCTTGGGTGCTGATGGGGATGGGTGCTGATGGGGATGGGTGCTGATGGGGGTGGGTGCTGATGGGGATGGGGGCTGATGGGGGTGGGGGCTGATGGGGGTGGGGGCTGATGGGGGTGGGGGCTGATGGGGGTGGGTGCTGATGGGGATGGGTGCTGATGGGGGTGGGTGCTCAGTATCCATGGGTGCTGATGGGGATGGGTGCTGATGGGGGTGGGGGGCTGATGGGGGTGGGGGCTGGTGGGGGTGGGGGCTCAGTATCCATGGGTGCTGATGGGGGTGGGGGGCTGATGGGGATGGGGGCTGATGGGGGTGGGGGCTGATGGGGATGGGGGCTGGTGGGGGTGGGGGCTCAGTATCCATGGGTGCTGATGGGGGTGGGTGCTCAGTATCTATGGGTGCTGATGGGGATGGGTGCTGATGGGGATGGGGGCTGATGGGGATGGGTGCTGATGGGGATGGGGGCTGATGGGGGTGGGGGCTGATGGGGGGGGGGCTGATGGGGGTGGGTGCTGATGGGGGATGGGGGCTCAGTATCCATGGGTGCTGATGGGGGTGGGGGCTGATGGGGGTGGGGGCTGATGGGGGTGGGGGCTCAGTATCCATGGGTGCTGATGGAGGTGGGGGCTGATGGGGGTGGGGGCTCAGTATCCATGGGTGCTGATGGAGGTGGGGGCTGATGGGGGTGGGGGCTCAGTATCCATGGGTGCTGATGGGGGTGGGGGCTGATGGGGATGGGTGCTCAGTATCCATGGGTGCTGATGGGGGTGGGTGCTGATGGGGGATGGGGGCTCAGTATCCATGGGTGCTGATGGGGGTGGGGGCTGATGGGGGTGGGGGCTCAGTATCCATGGGTGCTGATGGGGATGGGTGCTGATGGGGGATGGGTGCTGATGGGGGATGTGTACCAATGGGGGCTGGGTGCTGATGGGGGCTGGGTGCTCAGTTCCCATAGATGCTGATGGGGGCTGGGTACTGATGGGGGATGGGTACCAGTGGGGGCTGGGTACCGATGGGGGCTGGGTGCTGATGGGGGCTGGGTACCGATGGGGGATGTGTGCCGATGCGGGATGGGTGCTGATGGGAGCTGGGTACCAATGGGGGCTGGGTGCTGATGGGGGCTGGGTGCTCAGTACCCATAGATGCTGATGGGGGATGGGTACCAATGGGGGCTGGGTGCTGATGGGGGATGGGTGCTCAGTATCCATGGGTGCCTATGGGGGATGTGTACCGATGGGGGCTGGGTGCTGATGGGAGCTGGGTGCTCAGTACCCATAGATGCTCATGGGGGATGGGTACCAATGGGGGATGGGTGCTCAGTATCCATGGGTACCGATGGGAGCTGGGTACCGATGGGGGCTGGGTACCAATGGGGGCTGGGTACCAATGGGGGCTGGGTGCTGATGGGGGATGGGTGCTCATTTCCCATAGATGCTGATGGGGGATGGGTACCGATGGGGGCTGGGTGCCAATGGGGGATGGGTGCTCAGTTCCCATAGATGATGGTGGGGGCTGGGTACCAATGGGGGCTGGGTGCTGATGGGGGATGGGTGCTATGTGGGATGGGTCCTGATGTGGGATGGGTACCGATGTATGGGTAGCAATGGGTGCTGGGTACCAATGGGTGCTGATGGGGGGCTGTACCAATGGGTGCTGATGGGGGCTGGGTACCAATGGGGGATGGGTGCTCAGTATCCATGGGTACCGATGTGGGATGGGTAGCAATGGGAGCTGGGTACCAATGGGTGCTGATGGGGGCTGGGTACCAATGGGTGCTGATGGGTGCTGGGTACCAATGGGGGCTGGGTACCGATGAGGGATGGGTGCTGATGTGGGATGGGTACCGATGTGGGATGGGTACCGATGTGGGATGGGTACCGATGTGGGATGGGTAGCAATGGGAGCTGGGTACCAATGGGTGCTGATGGGGGATGGGTGCTCAGTATTCATGGGTACCGATGAGGGATGGGTACCGATGAGGGATGGGTGCTGATGTGGGATGGGTACCGATGTGGGATGGGTAGCAATGGGAGCTGGGTACCAATGGGTGCTGATGGGGGCTGGGTACCAATGGGTGCTGATGGGTGCTGGGTACCAATGGGGGCTGGGTGCTGATGTGGGATGACGGATGGGTACCGATGAGGGATGGGTGCTGATGTGGGATGGGTGCTGATGTTGCATGGGTGCTGATGTGGGATGGGTAGCAATGGGAGCTGGGTACCAATGGGTGCTGATGGGGGCTGGGTACCAATGGGTGCTGATGGGTGCTGGGTACCAATGGGGGCTGGGTGCTGATGTGGGATGGGTACTGATGTGGGATGGGTGCTGATGTGGGATGGGTACCGATGTGGGATGGGTAGCAATGGGTGCTGGGTACCAATGGGTGCTGATGGGGGCTGGGTGCTCAGTATTCATGGGTACCGATGAGGGATGGGTACCAATGGGGGCTGGGTGCTGATGTGGGATGGGTACCGATGTGGGATGGGTGCTGGGTACCAATGGGTGCTGGGTACCAATGGGTGCTGATGGGTGCTGGGTACCAATGGGTGCTGATGGGTGCTGGGTGCCGATGAGGGATGGGTGCTGATGTGGGATGGGTACCGATGTGGGATGGGTAGCAATGGGTGCTGGGTACCAATGGGTGCTGATGGGGGCTGGGTACCAATGGGTGCTGATGGGGGCTGGGTACCAATGGGTGCTGATGGGTGCTGGGTGCCGATGGGTGCTGATGGGGGATGGGTACCAATGGGTGCTGATGGGGGCTGGGTACCAATGGGTGCTGATGGGTGCTGGGTACCAATGGGTGCTGATGGGGCTGGGTACCGATGAGGGATGGGTGCTGATGTGGGATGGGTACCGATGTGGGATGGGTAGCAATGGGTGCTGGGTACCAATGGGTGCTGATGGGGGCTGGGTACCAATGGGTGCTGATGGGGGCTGGGTACCGATGAGGGATGGGTGCTGATGTGGGATGGGTACCGATGTGGGATGGGTACCGATGTGGGATGGGTGCTGATGTGGGATGGGTACCGATGTGGGATGGGTAGCAATGGGTGCTGGGTACCAATGGGTGCTGATGGGGGATGGGTACCAATGGGTGCTGATGGGGGCTGGGTACCAATGGGTGCTGATGGGTGCTGGGTACCAATGGGGGCTGGGTACCGATGAGGGATGGGTGCTGATGGGTGCTGGGTACCAATGGGGGCTGGGTACCGATGAGGGATGGGTGCTGATGGGTGCTGGGTACCAATGGGGGCTGGGTACCGATGAGGGATGGGTGCTGGATGCTGATGGGTGCTGGGTACCAATGGGTGCTGATGGGTGCTGGGTACCAATGGGTGCTGATGGGGGCTGGGTACCAATGGGTGCTGATGGGGGATGGGTACCCATGGGTGCTGGGTGCCGATGGGTGCTGTGTGTCCCCTCCCCTCCCCCCGCAGCCGATGCCCTGCACCTGGTGCCGGTGGAGCTGGGCTCCCCCGTGGTTCACTGCTCCATCGCCGACCCCTTCGTGGCGCTGCTCAGCGCCCACGGGGCCCTCTCGGCCTTCGCGCTCCAGGGGGACCCCTATGGGGGGCGCGCCCCACGGCTCAGCCCCCTGCGAGGGCCCCTGCACCACGTGAGCCTATGGGGGTGGAGACTATGGGGGGGGAGCCAATGGGGGTGGAGACTGTGGGGGGGGTGGAGCCAATGGGGGGTGTGTGGGGGTGGAGCCTATGGGGGTGGAGCCTATGGGGGGTTGGGGGGTGGAGCCTATGGGGGTGGAGCCTATGGGGGGTTGGGGGGTGGAGCCTATGGGAGTGGAGACTGTGGGGGTGGAGCCAATGGGGGATGTGGGGGGTGGAGCCTGGGGGGTGAAGCCTGTGGGGGTGGGGGGGAGCCAATGGGGGATGTGGGGGGTGGAGTCTATGGGGGTGGAGCCTGTGGGGGTGGGGGGGAGCCAATGGGGGATGTGGGAGTGGAGCCTGTGGGGGTGGAGACTGTGGGGGTGGAGCCTATGGGGGGTGGGGGGGTGGAGCCTATGGGGGGTGGGGGGGTGGAGTTTATGGGGGGGGTGGAGACGGGGAGTGGAAGCAGCCAATGGGGGGTGTGTGGGGGTGGAGCCTATGGGGGATGGGGGGGTGGAGCCTATGGGCTTGGGGGGGAGCCAATGGGGGATGTGTGGAGGTGGAGCCTATGGTGGGAGCCAATGGGTGCTGTGGGGGTGGAGCCTCTGGGGGGTGGAGCCAATGGGGGCGGTGGGGGAGGGCGGAGCTTATGGGGGTGTGGGGAGGGTGGAGCCTAT